ACAAAATATGAAACGAAGAAACAAACAGCATGAATTTGGCTTACACCTTAGTCGTTGAATGTTGCAGAAACGATGATAACAAATCGATCGGAAACGGAAAGATTATCGTTGAATTCTTTTCAGCGCTGCAAATGAATCTTTGTCAACGAACGAATGGAAACAACATTCAAGAAAGGAATGAATAAGCTGATCAACTGAATCAAAAGATCAGATTCACGAAAGATCATTTTGGATCTTATAAATAGATCCAAGCCGTCTGGATGTTCTCCTAGAAATCTAGATCCGTAATGTTTTTAGATTTTTGAATGATCCTGAACAGTACAACTGAATTATCCATGCAGATTCATTTCTCGGTCATATTCCAGATCTATTTCATGATACGGTGAACAAAATGACATGAGAAACTGAGCAATTCATCGAGCACCCAGCCATCATAATGCTTGCTAATAAGACTATCAAGATTCACTACAGTTCAAATAGTTGAAATTGATCACATCAACCTGATTGATTACTATGATTAAATGTGAAACGCACCTTATCGAGTTNGCGATCACTTCAGCAGCCTCTTTAAGAGCCCTAGATGCTTTTTGTTCCCCTTCAGCCACAATAACCTGGCAAAAGAAGCGATTCAGAGATCTTTATATATCAAGATCGAAGGGAAATATTTCCACTAATCAAAATTTCTATCAAAATTATTAGATGCTGAATACGATTTCTTGCATGGTCCAATGGTGGACGCATATCGCGATAAATACGAAACGTTGACAAAATGGCAATGTGTATTTTTATACGTTCATTTCAGTGAACCACCACAGGGTGGGATCTGATGTCGAAGGTGGATCAACAAGGAAAGAAAGACTGTAAATTGGAGATTATTTTGACAAAAAGCAGTGTCACTGGCGTGAAATTCTTCATGGCAACGGTTTGTAAGCAGAATCAGAATTCAAAGAGCTGAATGTTTCGGAACCTTCGCTCGAGCTTCTCGAGCTGCTTCAGCTTCAGATGCCATGGCACGCTGTAGCTGGATGGGCAGGCGAACGTCTTTCACCTCAACTCGTTCCACTTTGACGCCCCATGGCTCGGTCGCCTCATCCAATGTACTCTTCAAATAGAACGCATATCATTTTCTAGATTCAGCGAATGCAGTTGAATGAATTGATCCAATCAAAGATGATTGATTTCATTTTGGACAAACAGTAACGATAAACTCAGCGATACCTGCATTTGAAGTGAAATCGCTTCTCGGTCTGATAGCATTTCAGCCAAAGTTTTCGTTCCGAGGATATTGCGTAGTGTTGTTTGAGCCAACAATTTGGTCGATCTATTGAGTAACATTCAGATCAATTGTTTAAGCAGTAACAATTTTCAAGGTTCAGTTAATGAAAACCACAAAACATCGAAACATCAACTCACTGTGCGATTCCGAACAGAATTTATTACCAATACGAAAAAAATTGCTGACATATTAACTGATAACAAGGGACGAATTCAGCACTATAAATTATTCGAATGGTTCAACAAAGCAGTGAGCAAGTATCCAAGAAGAAGGTGAAGATTTTGGAAACATGACTGAAAACAATTTGAATTGTAAGAAACCTGGCAGCATCTTCGACATTGGTCACCGAAATTGTAGCATTTGATATCCGAAA